TTGTTCCCTAGTGATCATTTATGTTCTGTTACTTCATTTTGTAAGGAAGAAAATACTTGTGTGTGCTGTGAGGCCTGACACAAGGTGCCTTCAGCCACAAAAGAAATGCAATTTATTTTTAAAAAACCCACAAAGATATGTATAGTGAAAGAATTGACTAGCAGCAGCTACTAGACATGGTTGAGCCATTGTCCTTTTGGGGCAATAATGGGAGAAGAATGATTTGGATGGATTTTTTTACTTGCAGTTAACATTTCTTCACCCCATACCCTCCCAAATAAACTGTGTAACTGAGATGAGAATCTTTTCTGTTGAAACTGAAATTGATATAAATTGGCCCTGAATCATAGCAGCTAATGACAGAGAATAAACTTGATTGCTTTTTAAAAGATAGATGGGATGGGAGCAAGTAGGATATAATGAAATGGGATCAAGTCCAACAGAAGAGAAAACTGGGACATTTTATGAAAAATTCATTAGTGTATCACTTCTTTTCTCATTTATGACAAGTAGACTTTGCGACTTTGCCATTTGCTTGCTATTATTTAGAGTCCTATTCCTTTAGTTCATTGGTATTGCAGGGCATGCATTAATCTAGTATTGACACTTTTACAGTTCTAAAAACACTTTGCCTGCTTTTTTTCTTTTGGCAATACAGCTGAAATTGATTTATATAATTCATGGTCACTTGCATATCATGTCTCCTACAGCTAACCTAGAGCCCATTATTACGTGTAGACAATATAAACTTTTTCTCAAATAATAGTTTCTTGTTCTTTTTCTTGTTCAGTACCTGCATAATGCCTTATTTTTTCCACTCAACTTACCCAAATCTTTTCTAGAAAGATTAACTATTTAAGCAAACATCTTGGAGCATATTCTTTAGTTTATTTCAGGCTAGCAAAGTATGAAGGAGGCATAACATCTGCTAGTTCTTCTAAGTATTTGGGGAAGAATTCCCCTTCGAGCAACTTGAAAATGGGATTTTGGTTCCTGTTTGTGAATAGCTTCCACTATTGCATCTATTATTCTAAGCATACAAATATATATAGCTATATTACACAAAAAGGAGAAAGGAAAGTCCCTCTGGGTTCAAATTCTGGAAACAAGGTAGAGAACTGAAATCAGAAGAATCTAAACTTCTGAATTATGTAAAGTATATATATTATTGTAAAAAAGGGCCCTCTACACATGCAATTAAAGGCACAATGGGATCTAATGTACAATCGTCACCATCGTACCTCCTGCCATGCTAAATGTGCATGGCAGGAAGCATAACTGTAGGATCGCACATTAGATTCTATCACACCCTATTGCCAGTGCAGGGGAACCTGATCCTGGGCTTCCCCTGCACTGGCAAGAAGCCCCATGCACCCTTGGTGTGGGGGGATTGTGGCTGCAATGTTCCCCCAGCCTTGGCGGGGTGTGAAACCCCCGGGGCCAGGGGATCGCAGCAGCCCTGCTTTCATTCACTCCCAAGACTGGGAAATGGTTGCTGCAATCCCAAACCCCAGAGGTTTCATGCACCCCAGGGGGCAACTGTGCAACTGTGCCCCCTGGCTGCCAGGATCCAGGTGGATTCTAGCACCCAGCATTTGCAGCTATGAGAGTCTGGGTCTCCATGCTACCAAGACTCAGAGTCCCTTCAGTTGTGGGACTCCTATGGGCATGGTGCATCCTTGTAGCTGGGAACCCTGTCAGCTGATGGGGCTCCTGGTTGCAGGGGAGACCCTGCTATATGTGCAAATTAAAGCTCAATAGCAGCCATCTGTAAAGTTAGTACAGATTGTCAAGGTCTAACTTTATAGCTGGTTGGAGCTTTTTAAGGTGTGATAGCTACTTTGCACATGTAGCTGGTCTCAAGGTATTTGCACGGTTAACTGGCTAATTGTGTGCTATCTGTAACATGTAGATGGGACCAAAGAAAATAGGAAAGAAATTTATATTGTTTCACATTGCTGGTAATCGGATTGTGCCTTTGAGGCATCATTTGTCGACTGAAGTCAGGACTTCTGACTAAGGTTTAGATTCTTATAATACATAGGTACCTCGGGGAATTAAGTCCCTAATTACCTTTTGCAGACAAGGTTCTTTGGGTGAATCTGATATCTTTTATTAGACCAACTTAAATAGTTGGAAAACAATTTTTAAGCAAGATTTTGGGTTCAAAAACCCTTTGTCAGGCTAAGGAAATTCAGCGGTTGGTGTGTGCTCTTCCTGGATGGAATGAAAAGTAAAGAAGCCAGAGGCTGGGCTGGTCTGCATACAAGACAGGCAGTCAGTAAAGATGTAGATTGAGGAGTCGATGGATGAGAGACAGGCTGGGTGTGGAGGGGAAGAGAAGAGGGATGAATAGTGGAGAAGTACCTGGGGAGTCAGATGTCAGACAGGTTATAATGCGTCATAAATCCAATGTCTATAGCTAGTCCATGATTTTTAGTATCCAGGAGGTTGACGAAGTGGAGTTCATAGGCTCTCGTCTCTG